TTTCATTATAAAATTTAATAACTTTTATATAATTATTTTTAACTTTCTATATAATATTTTAACCAATCACTTTATAAGAAAACTTTCTTTAAAAAAAATTGACTTTTAATCAAACGCACCTATGAAATTTAGAGTGGAATTTCACAATCCTAGATTATATAAAAATGGCCAGAGTTCATGTATAGAAATTCATGATGTACCATCATAAATGGAGACATTCTATGCCGTGGAAACCAGCTCTACGCCTTATGCGTAGATGAATATTGGTCTTTTGTAAGTGGCTTTCACTTAAAAAAAAATTTTCCCTCATGATTTTTTTTTTTTGAACAATTTATTAAGGAACGGGCTCAAAATCCATCTAAAATAAAGACAGAATATATCTCAAATTGACAAAATACCAGTTAGCAGAAGTGCCAGGAGCCACATGATTTGCATCCAAGAAACGAAGAAATTAACAACAGTTTACGCGTTTTTCTAACGGATGCGTTCCAGCCACACATTATGCTAACATGCCCAGAAATCAAAGAACTCGGCCAGGTCATATTAACATTAAAAATTAATAACCATATATATTCTAGAAACATATTTGCCCTAATTAGAAAAGATATTACTCTGTTTTAATTTCTCCATTTCTTTGGCATAAACCCTTCCGTGTTTAAAAGTTATATTAAACTTCAATTACTTTGAAATTAACTTGTATAATATATAAATAATTTTTTTTAATATTTATTTTTTAATTGATAAAATTTAAAGTTAAAATCTTATTTAAAGAAAATTGAATTTTTTTTTTTAAGACCAATAAATTATGAATTCAATATCTTCCCTTAGACGTATCTTCCCTTACACACGTCTTGTTGACAAGTTTTATGGATCTCCAAAAGTCACGTTTTTGCCGCCTGCTTAGGACGTTTAAATGTCTCCGCACCCCACTAGACAATTCAATCAAGTTAGGTTCACCTACCATAGATTATAACATTTACAGGGTACAATATCTCATGACGTTTCTAAATTGCATATTGACCCAGACCTCTAATCTCATAAACATTAGTCAAAACCGTAATTAAAAAATTGAATGCACCACTTAAACACCCATAAAAGTTCCCAAAACTACCAATTAACAGCATCCCACATCACCATGACTTCTTAGTCAATCCATTGCCTATTTTCAAAAAAATAAAAATAAAAAGACTTCTTAGTCAAATTTCAAAAAAATATATTGAGCTTTCAACCCTATTAACTCTTTTGTACTGTCTTTTTCTTGATAAAGAATTCGGTGACCAATTCTAAGTTTTCTAACAGTCCTATTCTAGAAACATTTTCGCTATATAAACAAGGAGACACATTATTGTGCCTAGACCAAGGAGTTCTTCCCAATGGCTAGATTAATCTTCCCAATTTTGGCCACCCAATTCACCATCTTCTTCATTTTCTCCTTCTTTGCCATTAATTTAGTGGTGGGAGATGATGGCTTTGCTAGAACCATGGACAGGAAGCTATTTGGGATGAAGAAAGAAAAGCTCAGCCACTTCCGCCTTTATTGGCACGACATAGTTAGTGGCCGCAACTCCTCATCAGTGGCTGTCACGGCTCCGATGAACAATTCGTTAACCAGTTTTGGGATGATTAGGATGATTGATAATCCCTTGACAATGGGGCCAGAAATGAGCTCCAAGATGGTGGGAAAGGCTCAAGGGTTTTACTCCTCTTCTTCGCAGGAAGAAATTGTGCTGTTGATGGCCATGAATTTCGCTTTCACAGAAGGGAAGTACAATGGGAGCACAATTACGATTTTGGGGAGGAACTCGGTGTTCTCGGAGGTGAGGGAGATGCCGGTAGTCGGAGGAAGTGGGCTTTTCCGGTTTGGTAGAGGGTATGTTCAGGCAAAGACACACTGGTTTGATCCTAGTACCGGAGATGCCATAGTCCGGTATGATTGTTATGTGTTGCACTACTAATGATGCAGTTATTTCTGCCTCGTACAATAATTTCTCTTTGATTGTTTGTAGATGCCTAGATGGTGGTAGTGGGGGGTTGGTTATCTGTTGTTTTCTTTTTCAAGAATAAAGTATTTTAGGGGTTGTATTTTGATATTTATGATGATGAATGATGCTTGTACCTGTTTGAAATAAATTTAAAGGGCTTCACCGACAGGAATTTTGGAGTGAATTTGAGGGTGGTGTCCCACTCCCACCCCACTTATTTGTCTTTTGATAAGCGGCACCATTCTTTCCTCTCACTTGTTTCGAAAAAAACTTGAAAAATATTGTAATTATAAAATTATGAGATATTA